GGGGGGAAAGAAGGTAAGAATTTAGTGTGAGCAAAGAAAACCACATTTGCACAATAACATTTATTCCATATTAAGAAAAAGTAATAACGATCAACAGAAACTATTTGGGGAAAGTAAAGACTTAGGACTTACTACTGGCTTCCTCCATTCGCTACAAAGAACATGTGTAAGAGTCTATGCAATGAACATATCCCAAACACAGATACTTACTTTCCATATCCCGTAAAGATTAACCAGGGGAGGATGGAGTTCAGTAAGAAGCTGATAAACAAAAAAAAAAAAATTCATTAAAAAGAATGTGAGATATCACATTATACTACTAAAAAATAAAATGTGGCCAACCCAATTCATACTACAGAAGAAGCTGCATGGGCCAACAAAGGAACTAAGCAGGATGGCCCAGCGTATGATAGATACCAATCTTCCAGTGTAATGTGATTGAAAAAAAATAATAAAGTATACATTAGTGTGTGATTGCATGTGTGTGTGTGTGTGTAAGTGTTTGTTTGTGTGTGTTTGTGTGAGTGTATATGTGTGTAAGTGTAAGTGTTTGTGTGTGTGTATGTGTGCAAGTGTGTGTGTGTATAATTGTGTATGTGTGTGTGTGTGTGTACGTGTGCGTGTGTGTATGTATGTATGTGTGCGCGCGCGCGTGTGTGTACTCACTGTACGGGTGCTGCGCCACAGTGCTCATCGTGGTCTCCAGGGGCTCGCTCACACCGTACTCGTTCTCGGCGCTCACGCGGAAGTTGTAGGAGTGACCTTCCACCAGACCCATGACCTCGTAGTGAGTGCCACGGACAAAGCGACTCACAGGCTCCCACCTGCCAGTAGCCACGTCCTGTTTCTCTACCACGTAGTTGCTCACAATGCTTCCTCCATCTTCCTGCAGGGTGGAGACATCCACATAGGAAAAAATTCAGTTATTTGAAACGAACAAAAACAAAAAAAATAAAATTGAAAGAACCAAAAAAAACCCTCCAAATAATAAAACAATGTTTTAAAAAAATACACCCCCAAAAAAGCTAAGAATTCTTGTTCGCCAGTCCAAGAATTATGACAGTGAGTACAAATTGAATTATGTTATTATAACAACGATCTTTGCTTTCTAAGACAGGGGACTCCTCTCTCCGTGAAGACTAGGAGAACACAAATCCGTAAAGAGAAGAGAAGGTTGAACTGTAGTTTATTCAGTGGATCGGTCCCCTTTAACTGAACACGGTTAGTCCGAAATAAGCAGTGACCCAATCAAAGGAAAAAGAAATCACCAATTTTTTCTCTCCTTTATTTGAGCAACTCCTTTAACCCAAAAACCCAGCGAAACTGAAGAAAATATGTCAGTTGCACAGATTTCAGTTTAAGCAGACTCCACTATATTTCTTTTTTACTAAAGTCAGTTGACATTGTTAGTCCTTGTGTCATCAAAGTTCAACAACTGAACACAGTTGAAGTGACCCGTCTTAGAAAGCAAAGTCATCATTGTTATACTGAACAATTAGTTTGATATTAAACAGACAGACATTGCGGCAAATAAATAGTTATAAACTTGCTACACAGAAACATTAGTCTTGTACTAGCATCTGCTCTACAGCAACTACTACTACTACTACTACTACTACTACTACTACTACTACCTTTGATCCAAGAATTAGTCCCCTGTTAACATTCTGCACAGTTTCATGACTACATAGGCTATATATAGCACTATTACTATAATGTAAGAACTATGAGATTCATGCAAAGTAATGACTGTTAGCTCACTAATAGAGCATCATTTTTTGGTCCACAGAGCAAAAATAAGCTAGGAGCATAATAAGTTCTAATGTATTCTTTTCATACAAGCAAATCAAGTTTTACAATCTATACTTCTTGTCTTCTCTACATCAAGCAATGCTTAGGTTTTCCTTTCGTCAATTAAACCCCTACATGTTCCCCAGTGGAAGTGTGTTCATCATAGGATGGTAGGATAAACTAGCTAGGCTGCTTTCTCTACCTATGTGTATTATGTGTGTTTCTGTGCATCAGTGTGTTAGGTTATGTGTAAGTGTGTGAGTGTTTATAAATGTGAGTGAGTGTGTGTGTGTGTGTGTGAGTGTGTGTGTGTGAATGTGTGTGAGTGTGTATGTCGGTGTATGTGTGTCTGAGTGTGTATGTGGGTGTGTGTGTAAGAAGGAGAGAAAGAGAGAGAGAGAGAAAGAGAGAGAGAGATGGAGATAGATAGAGTGAGAGAGAGAGTGAGAGAAAGAGAGACAGAGAGAATGTGTGTGTGCATGTGTGTCTGGAAAAGACTTTTTAGACTACGTCTACATTGATAAAGACACTATAATAAGAATTCAGTTGGGTAGAATCGTAATATGTTTCACCATTAACCTAACTGGGCTCCTTATCTATCCATGCACTTCTTCAACTCAAAAACACACAAATAAAACAAGTTATTTGAAACAAAGTCAGCACACAAGAAACAAGTAAAATAATTAAACAAAACAAAACAAACTAAAAAAAAAAGCATGCTAAGAACTTGGGTCTATATTGTGTTGCTTTTCAACTTAATACATCCTGGGTTTTTTTTTTCCCTTAAAGTAAAATTTTTCAGAAATTACCGGTTACACTACAACAGAATCATGCTGTATTGCACTTTGGATTGTTGTCATGGCAACAGTACACCATTGCAAGGGTAAAAGGTATACAACTCAGTTAAGTGGTATATTGCAACATTTGCATTTATCTGGATTTCTTGTTCGAAGACGCAGGACGGAATGCACAAAAAGGCTGGGGTACATGTCTTCCACATCTGTTTAATAGGGAAATCAGTGAAAAGGCAAGGGAAGTGCGCATTCTATCTATAGGTGCTTTTGGTAATGAAACTTGCTTCAGATTCCTCAAGTTTTAATACATAAGATATATTTTAATATAGGATTGGTTGAAAATGGGGAGGGGGGGGGGGGAGATTGTAAAAAAAAAATTGTGCGTGGTAGTGAGTGACAAATTAATCAAAATCAAATCCAAAAGGTAACGAAAAGGTCGCAAACGTCATTTACACAAGAAGGAATAGGAAAAGGAAATTTGAAAAAAAAAATCTCCAAAAAGAGGGGCTGTGGGAGGGAGATATAAGGCGTGGACAGAGAGCATGCAAAGTTACAAAAGATACCAACAGAGTTGAGGTAATGTAGAGGATTCATGGATTTGAGCAGTCTGATATCTCCTGGCACTGATTTCTGAAAAGTTTGGGAGAATTTAAGTCGCAGAATGCACCAGCCCGCACTGCAGCTGTTAGAAGGGGGCAGGTTCTGAAAAGCTTTGGAGAGTTTGTCGCAGAATGCACCAGCCCGCAAAGTTGAGAGAAGGGGGCGGGTGGACCAAAACCCATTCAGTCACAACTACTTATTTCTTGCTCTCCTTTTCCACTGATACACCAATAATTCACCCCAACTTCACGTCTCTGCTACTCTTTATAATTTCTCCCACAGTATTTTTCATTACCAACATTTCTCTTTAAGAATGTATTTTTTCCCTAGTTTTGATTGTAATATAAGGTTTGTGACAACAATGCATCACATTATTTGAATCCTTTGAATTAAATAGACCCCTATAGTCTTCTATCTTTCTATTCTCCAACACTCATCACCGAGTTGAAATGTTTAGTTTGTAACAAATAGTTAAAAGATCATCTGACTCAGATTGCCTCTGAGAGAATACCACGTGAGGAATCATCCAACACATCAACCTTTTTTGCTTTAAATTTACTTATCTTCATTACTATGTTCTAGATCAAATGTACTGTGCACACTGTCACATATGACATTTTGATATAATATAATTATACTAATGTGCATGGCTTGACTGAATCATGAATTAGAAAATGACAACTCAACACGAGAAAAAGAATATTAATTCCAGAAAGCCCTTTCCTCCACAAAAAAAGAAAGAAATTGAAATGAAAAGAATACAGCAGGTTATACAGAGCTATTAAAACAGAAATAAAACCAATCCAGAGAAGTATATAAGATTACAAAACTGAAAATAAAAACTGTTATAAAGTGTTATGTATTAAGCGTTATGAAGTTATGTCTAAAGCATTATTAAGCATTATGCGGTTCCAGCTACGTCGAGCATGTTCAGAATTTGTTACCCCGTATCGCGTCTGTGCTGCCTGAAATGATGGGCAGCCATTTGTCAAACATAAACATCTGCTTACGTTGCCATAGAAACGTGAAGGCATTCTTTTCCTCCTTTTTATGACAAAGAACATTTATCTTCCTGGGTAACAGCGTGAGCCACAATTCGTTGGAATAAAATGCAAGGCAAAAACAGCTCTTCAGCTGCCACCCCTTTGGAAAATTTGATTTTTCCACCGTTAAACAAAGAGCAATATAACAGTCTTATGGATGTTTTTCTTCCACATGTAGCAAAGCTCACTGATAAAGCAAGATAGACTTACAAACAGTGGGCGAATGGTGGGGTGCTCTGGTGGGTTTTGCTCCTTCTTTCCTATCAAACATCTATCATCTTATCTCTCCTCCATCTTTTCTGTGTATACTCTCTAGTAATGGCATCACCTCTAATGTTCAGAATTTATATTATGACCTATTAAGTGTTGCAAGTTCTGTAAAACTCTAAATAAAACAAGAATTAAACACTTGCAAACGAATATAACACAACAGTTTGCTACAGGGCCAGAGTTCCAGTCTATCTACGAACAATTGAGACCTGGGGATTCTACAGCAAGAACTACACTACAGAAGTTATTCTATTTTTAGCTACTGTTGATTAAACTCTACAATGCTAATTCTGTCATGCGTGAGAATGTTGGAAACAAAATGAAAGACGTAAATCAATAAAATCAATAAAACGAGACTTCACAGTAAAATGCAGCAAAAAGACAAAGGATGTTATAATCATTACTTTAAAATCTCCCTCTAGCCATATGTCTGAACACCTTTACTGTTACAGCTAGTTTTAAAAAATACACAAAAAGCAAAAAAATACTCGAAATGGTTACACTAACAAACTTTTTGTCATGTACATCATAACTTTCAAATCTACGAAAGAAAGAATACTCAAAGTCATCAATAGGCATTCAAAGATTTCAAGATAAATGGAAACTCAAGTAAGATCAATCAAGAAGACACCCTAATGTAACTACTAAGTAATTAGTCTTGATAGCTTGTCTGAAGTGAAACAAAAGGTTAATAGAGATGTAAACTTTTCTATTACTCATAAATTCTGTTCATTTGCAGCACATCAGGAGTTCAGACTTCATCTGTGATATTGACTCAGAAGCTGTGTTGAAAGGGACATTAAATCATTCTGCACCATAATAGATCATGACAAAGTCCATCAGAGACTTGCGCTGAAAGAGACATTAACTCTTTCTGTAGCATAATTTTCCATGACACAGTGCAAGCATGGGGGTGGAAGGCTGATGTGTTTGTTTGAGGAATGGGAAGAGGATACTTCACCCACAAACACAACTACCTCATAGCCAGTCTCATTAATTTCAATAATAGTTTGTCTACCAAAGTCTGACGATGAACAAATCATCTACAGAGGAGAATATTTCTTAAAGAGAAATATAAATGAAATATAGATTAAGATGACTTTTGACTTCTTACGACTTGAAGAACTGGGTGTCTTCAAAAGAAGTGGCAGAACCAGCATGGTACAGGGGGTGGAAAGACGGGTTATTAATCAAATGAACATCGGAATGATCAGCAGATGGACTCTGACTCTCAGGTGGATATTGGAGCGGGGAGCAGAGCACGTATGGCAATGCCCGGAGTGCTATGTTGTTCCCAGGATCAGGTAATCAATCAAGTAATGGCTTCTGCTGTGGCCAGTGAGACCAAATCTAGCGGAGAAGAATTTGCCACATTTTGAACATTCAAAAACATCATATCCTTTTGAGGGTGTGCACATCCAGTCTCATTATGTACATCTCAGACAAAACCTTGCTGGAGAAAAAAATTTGGCGTATTTCAGAGCATCAACCGACCACTGACCTTTGGAGGATTCCAGGACAACACACACGACTCTGGGGAAACGTCCTTGACCTCAATGGGTCCCTCTGGCTTGCTGGGGGCATCTGTGTGAAGGAGACAGAGAGAAACATCATGAGACCCTGGTTTATTTATTACCGTACATAAAGGGACCCAAGTTCATTCAGACAACCAGCATCTGTGGCGTAGCTTTGTAACGTCTGCAGAAGGTCCCCCATGAGTCATTTTGATAATCAGAAAACAAAAACTCAACATCCAGTCTTGGTGTGTATATATTTTCATAAAGAAATATCTACTTTAAATAAGTTCTGACTCTTCTTCTTCTTTATTTTCGATGACAGTCAGAAGGTCTAGATCTGGTGGTGTGCAAAAACTGTATAGTTTGTGTTAGATCTCCTCTAACTTTGACTCAGCTTCCACATAGAGTGGTAAAAATTACATTTTTAGGTTAACATATAAAGCATTTCATGATCAATAATAGTCTACACAACATTAAATAGTTTGTCCGTTAAAACTATAAAAGTGGATAAGATACAAAAACAGCCAACAAAAAATGTCCACAAAAACCTACAACTGCAGACTTACCCACAACCATAAAAAGATGTCTGTCATTACCGAAATCCATAAAAAGATGTCTGTCAAGTCAAAAACCTGCAAGTGCAAACTTACCCACAACCACAAAAAAATGTCTTTCAAAAACTTACAAGTGCAGACTTACCACACAACCATAAAAAGATGTCCGTCAAAAACCTACAAGTGCAGACTTACCGACAACCACAACATTCATGGCCACGGAGTCCGTGCCCTTGTCGTTGGTGAGGGTCAGCTGATATTTGCCGGCATCTTTCATCTCAGCCTTTTTACAGATGAGAGTCATAGCGTCGGGCTGCACGTCCAACTTGATGCGATCTGTCTCGTGGACCGTCATGCCACCCTGTGGGAATAAACAAACACAAAAAACACTTAGATGACTCATTAAAAAGGTTTGCTAGCTCCATACATTCCATCCCGACAGCCGTAGTCCTCAACTGACACCAGTAAATTAAGAATACCCTAGTAGAAATCAAAGTCATTTGGTGAAAGATCTTTTCCATTTACTGGCTGTAAAACTAGGAACATCCTACCTCATAAATTGAGAGAAATAGAAAATACTCAGTCTTTAATAATCTATTTGAAATCTCATATAATATATAATTTTATAACAGAAATCCAAGTTCAACTTTTCATTCATCCAAGACTAGCTCAGACAGGTTGAGGGGCTTCTACAAATAAATACATTAACTAAGTGGGTTTCCTGCAAGGCAGCGTCCAGGGAAAAAGAAGCAGAGGCAGACTGAAGAAGAGTTGGGAGGACAACATCAAAGAATGGAAAGGCCTGGAACTCAAAGACACACTGAGAAAAGCTGAAGACCGGAAGGAGTGGAGGAAGCTGGTGGCCAAATCTTCTAAAGCGCCCCGACGGACATCCAGTCTACGGGACAGGTGAAGGTGAAGGTGAAGGTGAAGGTGAAGTGGGTTTACCTGAGTCCATGTGGCGGTGGGAATGGGGTTGCCAGAGAAGGGAATGCTGATCTTGAACTCCTCTCCCACTTTGGCCTTGATGTCTTTGACGGTGGGCAGCAAGTCACGGTTGATCCTCGGAGCCACTGGGAGAAGAGGAGAAACACAATGTGGTCAGCATTAAGATAAGATAAGATGCATCATTTAACCACATGCAGGAGTTATGGTTTGCCATAAATTTGAGCTGATACGGTTAAACAAAAGGCATCTGTGGTCTAGTGGTACGGTTGTTGAGCTCGCTGTTATTTCCATGAGAAAAAAACTTTGCACAAATTTTCCTCTCTTCACACCAAGATGAGAAAGGGTACCTAGCGAAAGATCTTGTCAGTTTTGTTTTGATGAAGTTATTACTCCAACAACCCTGCAACTATTTCATCAACTGCTGTGCTTCCCCTGGTTTTTAAGGATCTAGACACAAGATCACTTTTTAAAACATTGCATATTACCCAAAAGAACATGATTACTATAACAGTTCTTTTTAAAAATTTAATAAGTACATCTGATTTAAAGAAAGGAGAACAATAACTATAATAATTGTAATAATAATATTAATAATGATAATAATAATAATAATAATAATAAAAATAATAATAATAATAATCATTATAATAATAATAATAATAATAATAATAATAATAATAATAAGAAGAAGAAGAAGAAGAAGAAGAAGAAGAAAAAGAAGAAGAGCAACAACAATAACAACAGCAACAACAATAATAACAACAAAAAGAAGTAGCAGCACAACAACTCACCAGGTGGTGGCAGAGCCTTGATGTTGCCGCTGCCGTCGCTGAACTCTCCAATGCCAGCGTTGTTGACGGCAGCCACACGGAACTCGTACTGCTTGCCCTCCTGCAAGCCCTTGGCCGTGAACTCTGTGTCATTGACATCTCCGATGTTGGCCCTACACGGAAATATGGGAAACGTTCGGACAAAATGAATAACTTCTCAAATTTCATTCTCATGGAAATAGACACGTAACACTTATAGGTGAAGTTTTTACAATTTATAAGTTGGAATAATAAAAGTCATTTTGTACTTTAAGAATACAGCATCAATAGAAAATCTATAAATTTGAACCTAGTGTCAACTTTTGGCCAATATCTCCATTTGTGAATTGCGAGAGCTCATTTTGTCAGCACTCCTCACATATAGTTTGAGTAAGATTTTTATGCGACTTGCAACACGAATAGGTTATTTAAGTGCAGGAGATTTGAGGTGTTACGAGAGAGTAATATACATAGAAAAGAAAGTGGAGAGAAGAGGATGATAGCTGTTTTTGTTTTTGTAGGCTTTTTACGGCGCTCGCAACTGCATAAGGTCATATGAGCCCCAGAAGATTAAAGGTGTTACAAGAGAGTAACAAACATAAAAAAGAAGAAGGGGAGATAGGGTCGATAGATGTTTGATAAGAAAGAAGGAGCAAACCACACCAGAGCACCCGTCAACCATCTACGGATGATAGCTGTTTGATAGGAAAGAAGGAGCAACACGCGCAACAGGAACAGGAAGGGACTGGTTTCAGAAAGATGAACAGGAAGGGATTTGGTACTCTAACATTAGCCATACATTTCTTATTATTACGATTATCTCATTTGTATATTTTGAGGAATGGAAGAAAGCTTTTTGAAAAGGCGACTACTGGAAGTTTTTTCTACACTTTTGGTTTTGTACGAAAGATTGAAGATTGTTGGAGAAGGAGTAGGAACTCAGCTGTAATTAAAAGAAACATGAGTTTGCTCAATTCAGAGAAACATAAACTCATACAAATCTGATAAATAGAAATAGTTTTAGATTGGAACCTTGCTATAAAACCTCTTCTCAATGATGATTTGATACAACTGTGGAGGACAAATTTGTCGCTTTTATCATTTTTTTTCTTTATTCGTAGGCTGAGAAGTATGGAAGAACATTGTTTTTCCTATCCTGTTGAAAGAGGCACTTTTGAATTTCAACTTTTTACTTGGTGTTTTCAGCTTTGATTTTAAAACCTTGGATAAAATATTATTCATCTTCATCAATTATGAAATCATCTTAGCAGTCACTCCAAAGAACTGTGCACATACTTTGTCCAGCGATCGTCTCCCTTCTCCCGCTTCTCGATGACATATCCCTGGATGGGGTTGCCGCCATCTTTCTTGGGCGGATTCCAAGACATCGTGATGGAGTCCTCCGTAGTGCCCACACACTTGGGCGCACTCGGGGCTCCGGGGGCATCTGAGAGATAGGGTGGAGACATGGAACACTTAGAGAAACAAAATGCTAAAATAGTTCCAAATGTACATAACTTTTCACTTTAACCCTATTCATACGCCCTGGGGTAATTTTGTACCCCCGGGGTTGTATTCTTCACATTTTAGAATACTTCTAGTATGAAGATCTCTTTGGAACTTTCAGTATTTCTCAAAAAATCATTTTGACAGACTGTTATGCAAAGCGTACAGATCGGATTAATGAGTAAATTTCCTCTTTGAAAGTGGTGGCACAGAGTTCCCCACATCGTAAGGATACAACAGTAAAACATGACATAAGGATAGGTTTAACAAAACAAACTGTTGTGTCTGCAGTAAATACTTGTACTTCACACCATAGACTTGAATTATAATATCCTAAACCAGGCATCATTGTCATAGCCACCACTTTTTGCTTTCTATGAAATATCATTTTGCTCCACTGGTGCGCAACTCTTTGCTTTCTATAAAAACTTTGCAGCGCTGGTGTGCACAACGGGCACCCCCATTAAAGACAAAACCCTAGTCTCGCTATCGTTGAGTGTGACCGCAACCTTTCCCTCCTTGTCCTTCATGTGGTTCCAAACAAAGTCAAGTGGTGTACTCCGCAGTGAACCGGAATTACATCAGAGTGCCCAGTCGTGGATATTAAAATGCAAAAACATGCTTCACACGACATATTTATACATATGTGCAAAATAAAAACTGATAAAAAATGTGATCTAAAAAACAGTTCTTTCCATTGCATCACAAAAGGGGACAGTCCATTTCAGATGAAGTTCACTTCTCTTGATATTAAGCATAAGTTTTTAATAAAAAGAAGACATTTTTCTTCCACAGCCTGGTCAACAAGGGACAATTAGTCATTTGTATTTTGGCAACTACTGGGTACATGAACTAACAGTGTGAGGTTAGTGAGGTGATTTTACCATACTTTTGGAAAGTCTGAGAAAACACTGAATATAATTAAAGGGAAAAGGAACTATTGGCCTAACCCAGGCAGAGAGACGCAAAACTCCCTTGGAGCCTGGAAGACCTGTGTCGTACATCACTTTTTGGACTATTAAAGACTGGGATGTCCATTTAAAGATGAGAAGGAAGAAGAACAAAAATGGAAAAAAATCGTGTAGCAGCAAAAAACACAACACAGTGAACTGACCGTAAGGCAATTTGGCAAGCACCGGTGTTTCCGTCTCCAGGAAGTCGCTGACCCCCTGGGAGTTCTCAGCAGCTACACGGAACTCGTATTTGGTGCCCGGCTCCAGGTTTCTCACCTGGCAGGTTGGGCTGTTGATGAAGGAGCTCACCTTCTGCCACCTGTTGGTGCCGGCCTGGGGACAACAAGGGAGGTAACATGCACGGTCAGACTTTCATGTGTGGCTACTTACTTTACTTCTTTATTTTACTCTACTTTATTTTATTTTATTTTACTTTATTTTATTTTATTTTATTTTACTTTACTTTATTTTATTTTATTTTACTTTACTTTACTTTACTAAACTTTACTTCTTCAATTTTTACTTTACTCTACTTTCATTTCCTTTCCTTTCCTTTAAATTTTTGCTTCCTCTTGCATTGATAGATGTCAAACGGAGGTGCTATTTTTGGCCCAGGGCTAAATAAGTGGCTTCTGTTGTAGATATGCTGTTGTGTTGGAGGACCTTATTGATGCTATCTAGCCAAGTTTTTCGTGGTCCACGTCTGCCTTTTGAGCCTCATTCTCTTGTTTTATGTGTAGATTTGTACCATAAAATGCTCTATTAAAAGAAATGTTTAATAAAAATACTTATAGAAAAAGAGTACACCCTGATTTGACAAGGACCTTTTCCATCTTACAAAAAAAAAATTAAAACCATCATTGTTTGTTTTCTGTTCGTAATTATCTTCTTTTATATTTCTCTGGGAAAATTTGACTTTTTCTTTCTAATACTATTACTGCTAGTCTTCTCTCTACCACCATCTTCCCACAGTTTTCTCAAGGATGTCATAACCGGTCTCTTTATATCGTTGTTTTTTTTTGGTCATATTTCTTTTGTCAAAGCAGTCATAACTAGTTTTCTCTCCATCATCATCTTCTCTTATGTAAAAATGTTCTCGAATCAATCTTTTCTCATCGCTATCTCTTCTTCGCTCTATTCATCCATCCATCATTCTATCATGTTTCATCATCTTTTACCTTTCTCTTCTCAACTATGTAGTTGGTGATCTTATCTCCACCGTCGTCTTTCGGTGCACGCCAGTTCAGCGTGAGAGAATCTCCATCGATCTCCGTGGCCTCGAGGGGACCCTGTGGTGTGCCAGGTTTGTCTGGAGGGGGAAGATTTAAGAATATGTAAAATATGACAGAAGACAGATTATGCCGAATAGCATAAGAAAGCGACAGGCAAATTTCTTCGGACAGACAATGCGGAAAGAAGCATTGGAGAATATTGTAACAGGCAAGTTTGATGGAAAGAGAGGCAGAGGCAGACAGAGGGAAAAGATACTGGACAAGATGACAACATGGCTAGGAGCAGCTAGAACAACAGACACCATTGCTGCAACGCAAGACAGAGTGAAGTGGAGGTCCATGATCGCCCACGCCAGACGGCAAGTCACCGGATGATGATGATGAAAATATGACAATGACAATGACATTATTAATTATTATTATTATTATTATTATCATCATTGTTTTTATTGTTATTGTTATATTTATTGTTGTTATTATTATTATTATTATTATTATTATCATTATCATCATTATATTATATTATTATTATCATTATTATTAATATTATAAATTATCAGGCTTATATTTTACTCACCCAGCACATTGACGCTGAGAGACAGGGTCTCTGTCCCCTCTGGGTTCTTCAGGGTCAGCTGATACTTGCCGGTGTCGTCTCTCTTGGCCTTGGCACAGTGCAGGATGGCGTGGTCATCTGTGAGCTGTGGTGGAGAACAGATAAATGTCAGCAATTATAATAACAATAATAACAATAATAATAATAATAATAATATTAAATCATAATAATCATAATCATACTAATAAATAATAATAATAATTATTATTATTGCTCAATCCTGATTAAAGTACACAGGCTCTGAGCGCTTTACAATACAGTACAACGTACAACAGTAACATAAAACGTTGAGTTCTGACCAAAAGAAAATCTCTTCAAATATTCACCTTATTAATTTAAAATCAGAGATGACCAGCTGACATTTGAATGTATAAAAGGATTTGATTGCTCTTAAAGTACTTCGCAAAGCATTCCAGATCTTGGAGCCTTGATATTCCAATGCCCTTTCACCCATTATGTCTCTAAAACTTGACCCACAGACTACAAAACAACTCATCTTTCAGGTACTATTATAAGGAGTCCACAGCATTTTCTCTTTCTACTTAAAATGATGCTATGAAGTAGAGAAGATTATCTCTTTATGTAAACTGCCAAAAACCCAACACTCCCTACTTTGATCCATTAGCATATCCCAGGCTAAGGACAAAAGGTTGGACTTTAGGAGAACCCCTTTTCATGACTACACACAAATTTCCATTATTTTCCTTATAATTTGCTTATATATCCCGGATCATCTCAGCTGTTAAATACCGAGAGACAATAATTTCTTGTATTTTTTGTGTGTGTGTGTGTAAAATGTATAAATATTCATAAACACCATTCTAAGATGACCCACTTACAGTGACAGTTTGCCTTGGTGCGTCGTCGACGTCCTTTCCATCCAGGGTCCAGTTTGCTGTAGGCTTAGGGTATCCCTTGTAGGGGACCTTGATGGTGAACTCTTGACCCGCCTTCACGTTGATGTCCTTCAGGCCAGCCTTGTCAATCTTGGGCTTCTCTGGAACAACGCAGAATAACATAGATAGATAAGACAACATGGGAGAAGAAACAAATTTTAGACACAGGTAAGATGAGATAAGATTCCAAAGAAGAAGCTGAAACAATCTTTTCTAATCAACAGACTTGTCCTGTTTATATAATTGTTAAACTATACAGTCAATCACAGGTTAAACTCTTTAAACCCCATCAGACTCTGGTAGTGTCCTGTAGTGTCCGGCATTAATAACCCTGTTACCCATCGGACCATCCGATACCAGTGACAACTGTTTCGTTCCATTTAGTGCTAGTTTTTGCTTGTTTTCCCCAAACCAAGTTTATAAGTAATGACTAAGCCTTTGTTTCTGCCATTTAGAAGTTAGAGGCAAGCTTTTGGGGTTATAATGAGACATAGTGCGGCAGGTTTAGGAGACCGTAGAAAAAACTCTGGGAAACGGTGGAAATAACTCAGGGTCTAAAGAGTTAAGCACACGCTCAATTACTAATGCACTGGACCAGTATCTTTCAGGTTTCTCTCTCTCCTTCTCTTACTTCTCTTCATGTATTGCTACTGATGAAATTTATCCACAAATATTGCTAGTGGTGAAGTTTATCCACAGGTATTACTGCAGATGAAGTCTATCTGCAGGTATTGCCAATGACAACTTGGACTTGTAATTGGACGAATATTCAAACATAAGCTTATGTAACTTTAAATCATTTACTGATCGGATCCTGTATTGACATTTTTTCTCTCCCCCTCCAGCCTACAGTCATACCTGGCTGTTCCTCCCTGTCTCCCCCCCTCCCCCTCCAGCCTATAGTCATACCTGGCTGTTCTGCCACCTTGATGTTATTGGTGGGCTTGCTGGGCTCGCCTGGACCAATGGCGTTCTCCGCGCGGATCCTGAACTGGTACTCATCTCCTTCCTGCAGGCCTGTGATCGTCGTGTTGAGCTGATTGGCCGGCAGAGTGGCACACTCCATCCAGTCCTCTCCCTTCTTCTTCTTCTCCACGACGTAGCCTGTCAGTTTGCTGCCACCATCGTTGGCGGGCTTGGCCCAGGACAGAGCCACCGAGTTCTTGGTGATTTTGTCCACGTTGGGGGGAGACGGAGCACTAGCGGGGACTGCAGACACAGAGAGAAGGGGAACAATTACAACATTTCAACTTTTATATTTTGTCCACATTGGGCGAAGATGGAGTGCAAACGGGGATTGGAGACACAGAGGTAGAGTAAAGAAATACAACATTTCAACATTTTAACACTTTGCAGTCACTTGGCGCAATAATGCGCCGGTGAAAATTATCAGTTCGGGTCACCTGGCACTCTTCTGCGCCAGGCCCGAGAAGTCCGTTGCAGTCACTCTCCTGGCTGGGTGACCAGATCGGGTATTTTGTACTGCTGGCTGTGTGACTGCAAAGTGTTAAACAAACTTTTCAGGAAAAGAGAAAACAGCAGCAGCAACAGAACAGGAAAGCATGTTGAGTTACAAAACTTGTAACATAAAAGTGATTTTTCTGTTACCCAAAAGTTATTCCGATGTTCTCCACTGGCCAAGATGTTAAAAAGTAATGTATAGTAAAGATAATTAGTTGTACATACCACAAGACAAAACAGTCCTGTATATCCAGCAAACTAAATAATTATGTTCATTGGATATCTGTCCTTCATTTTCAGTATAGTAGATATTAAACATTTCCTTCACTTCCAACTAGATAGGTGTATGAATATTGAAAGCATTTTGTGCACACTATTCATCATTAGGTCTTGAGGTGCAAGATAGTCAGTTAATTTACACCACAAAAGCAGTGCCTGAGGCTGGTGTTTTTCAGTCGTGGATTCTTTTCCCTACAACTGTGTGATAAGTGATTCCCTACAACTGTGTGTTAAATCCAACAACTGTGTGATAAGTCCTACAACTGTGTGATAAGTGATTCCCTACAACTGTGTGATAAGTCCTACAACTGTGTGATAAGTGATTCCCTACAACTGTGTGATAAGTGATTCCCTACAACTGTGTGATAAGTGATTCCCAACAACTGTGTGATAAGTGACAACTGTGTGATAAGTGATTCCCTACAACTGTGTGATAAGTGATTCCCTACAACTGTGTGATAAGTGATTCCCAACAACTGTGTAATAAGTGACAACTGTGTGATAAGTGATTCCCTACAACTGTGTGATAAGTGATTCCCTACAACTGTGTGATAAGTGATTCCCAACAACTGTGTGATAAGTGACAACTGTGTGATAAGTGATTCCCTACAACTGTGTGATAAGTGATTCCTGTATGATAAGTGACAGCCTACAAATGAACCGACCACACATTTAAGTCAGTCAGTCAGCGGAACAACTCACAGATGGGATCGCGAACGATGTGTTTGGGTGTTGCCTTGCTGGGTTTTCCCGGCCCACCGTCGTTCACGGCCATCACGCGGAACTCGTACTCAGAGCCTTCGTTCAACTTGATGACGCTGAAGGTCGTCTCTGGCACGGGGAACACGGTGGCCTTGGTCCAGTCCTTGCCCTTCTCCTTCTTCTCAATCATATAGCCTGGGGAAAAAAACCAAACAGGGAACATGTAATAAAATGGAGACCATTTTGCCAAACAACTTTTCAAGGTAAAGCGAAGAGGACACCAACAAAAAGCAATCTTTACAGATGGGATGAAACAGGAAAATATCAAGGAAGTCAAGGTGAGAAAAAGAAATAGAAACAAAAGCTGACTTACAAAAAAGAAATACCTACCAGCTCATGGATGAATCAGAAAAGAAAATATTTCACTTTACCAAGAGCATGTTTTTTTAGAACATATTATCTTAGTAGGTGGAGAAGAAGGGCTTTTAGCTTCGGTAAGTCATTGAATAATGAGAGAAAAGCAAGAAAATGCAGAGTAACAATGAAGTGATAAGAAGACATACAAACCATTGATGATATGTGAGACATGCTAACAAAATGAGTTATTTCTCGCAATCCATGAATGGAGATATCAGCCAAAAATCAACACAAGGGTCACATTCGTAGATTCTAAACCAATGACATTCTCTTCAAGTTTAACATGTTTTTTATCATTTCATACTAATAAATTGTAAAAATTCAACCTATAAATTTGACGTATCTATTTCCACCGTGTTAAAATCTGAGAGGTAACTCATTTTGTCAGCACACTTCACATATACTCACAAACCAATGACAGGAAACGCTGATAGAAAGAGAAAAGAACAAGAACGAGAAAAAGACAAGACAACAGTGTATCTCTTAAGAAAGACAAGGAGACAGCAGAAAATGGGGAAATAAATAATTTTTGTCTTTTTAAAGATGATCAGGAACAACCAGTATTGCTGAGACTGAGAGAACCAAATGAGATTGAGTTAACTTATACAATTAGATACAATTAGTTAAGAGTTTTCAAAGATTATTACAAAATGAGAAGTGTACCTTTGATGGGGTTTCCTCCATCATTGACCGGTTCCTTCCAGTTGAGAGTGACGGAGAACTTGTCGTACTTGCCGATCTCAAGATCTCTGGGGGCATCGGGCGTGTCTGAGGGGGGAGAGAGAGGGTAACCAGGGTCAGAGACGGGGGAATTGAATGATGTAATATGTGTCTGGGGGAGGGGGGGGAGAGGGTAATCAGGGTTAGAGATTGGGGGAATGGTATGGTGTAATGTACGTTGGGGGGAAGAAAGGATAACCTTGCGAGGTCATCTTGGAACAGACCAGACTCTCGTCAGCCACCCAGGTGATCTGTTATTGTATTTTCTACTAGACTGCTCTGCCGGAGTATTTATATTCCTATCTTTTATCTTTTTACTGGCAAACGTCTCCTTATATTCCTTTTCTGTCAAATGTTTTCCTTCATTCTTGTACTGTCAAATGTCTTCCTATGTTCCTATTCTGTCAAATGTCATCCTTCATTCCTGTACTGTCAAATATCTTCCAATGTTCCCATTCTGTCAAGAGTCTCCCTATTCTGTCAAACATCTCCCAACATTCCTACCGAAAGGATTCTTGGCGGTCATCCTCTGGCTCTCCAGCGGCTCGCCGACCCCATAGATGTTCTCGGCCTTGACCCGGAACTTGTAGTTCTTGCCCTCCTTCAGCCCCTTGGCCGTGATGGTCTCGCCGTTGATCAGACCCGGAACCTTCTCCCAGAAGTTGGAGCCTTCCTCGCACTTCTCAACGATGTAGCCTGAAACATCATGGTAAAAGTAAATTAAAAATTTTTTAAATAATAAATTACACTTTTTATTTGTCCCAGAAGGGCACTTTGGTTTACCATGGCAAACATACATACATAAATACATAATTATAAACACCTACATACAGAAATACAAAGATCAAGTGGAAGATCACGTGGAACCTGGAGAAGAGTCACTGAAATGGATGTACAGAAAAGTGGGAAGACATGGAGTGACATCAAGCGACTAGCCCAGGATAGGTAAATTAATTCTCAAAGTAATACTATACATGTCAAATTATGTTTTCTTCTTGCGAGAGCATCATATTTGCACATCCCCCAAAGCATCTTTTAAAACAAACAATCAGAACTTTTCCACCACATGGAATGTTACATTACCGTAACAACCTTGATTCTACTTGCAATTAACATAGATTTAAAACAAATTGCAAGCTGTGGAGATGGTGGGGGGGGGGATAAGTCCTGAGTTTTGGTGTCTGTGCAATACAGAAAGAAGTTAAGATTTGGCCCAATAAAATAACATGGATGTTAACTGGCTATGAAAAAAATATCCTGAACTTTTCAGACCCTACAGAAACATGTTCATGCGGACTCAAAAATTTACAGGTCATTCTGTCTAATAGATCTTGAATTCTAGATTATTTTCATATAAAATGCAATCTCTGGAATATTGATTCATTCAAACGTCAGCTGGAGTCGTTTCTGTTTTTAAATTAATATGATGAATATTTGGAATATTTTTCTTTAGTCGGAACACTACATTTTATGTTACTGTTGTACGTTGTACTGTATTGTAAAACGCTCAGAGCCTGCATACTTTAATCAGGGTTGAGTGCTATATAAATGTCATTTATTATTATTATTATTAATATTCCAGAAATTTGGATTCCCGGATTTAGCTGGACCACTGGCATCTTTTGTTTGTTTTAGTAAGAGTTTTACGGCGCTAGCAACTGCATAAGGTCATATGAGAGCGCTCTAGCATCTGTATGTAAAAGAAGCTAACCTGTGACCTCTGCACCGCCAGTGTCCGTGGGGGGCTTCCAGGTCAACTTGGCCGTCTCTGCGGTAACGTCGGACACCTCCAGAGGACCCTCGGGCTCTCCAGGCTTGTCTGTAAGGGGGGAAGGGGGGGGGGGAGAGAGAGGGAAAAAGAGAGAAAGAGAGAGGAAGAGGAAAAGACAGAGACAGAGAGAGAGAGGGGGGGGGAGAGAGAGAGAACATATGGAGTGTCTTTATACTTGGTAAAATAATACACATACATGTGTGAAATCAGGTGCTCATCAAAATAATGAATTTGAAGATACTGGCACTGTTCTGACAGTTTGGCAATAGTTTTCAAATTTTTGTTTTTTTTGGTAAATATCTTTTATGTCCATTTAAAAACACATTTTAGTATACAAATAATGTAAATTTTCAGTTTTCAAGGATTCTCAAACTATGGAAATCATCAAACTTAAGCTGCCATTTTCTCAGTAATTTTACCTCTGGAATCAGGTGATTTCCACCTCCTGCAATTGCAGAAATATTGACTTCTATTCAAGATAAATGGGTATTTTTTTCATTGAAAGGTAGACAAATGAACAAGCTTTAAGATGATACCAATAACTTCATATGCACCAAAACTGACAAGCGCCCAATTCCACCGTATTGTGACACATATATACAGGAGAGAGCCAATAAGCTGTTGCACCAGGGACAAGAACATCACACATTTCATATAAAATCTCCGTAAAAGAAAAGACTGACTCAAAACATTGTAGGAGAGGTAAGAGTGGATTAGCAAATGCTGATGTCCATTCACTTTATTTAACTTCTTACTTACTTATTTTTTAAAGATCAGCAAAACAATATTTTTGTTTGAAGAGGCAGTAGTAAGAAGCAATTGATGCAGTGAGAGACAGACGAGTCCCAGTATTTTTATAACACAGCATTACAATGCAAATTTACAATCATGCACCTTGACTTTAAAAAAAAATTAAATCTAATTCAGGTACTTTTACGCCCCCCCCCCCCCCCCCAATTGACACATTTTAGATCAATTAGGAGGTAAACTTTGACCTGGACTGAGAGGGGTATAACTTCCCAGCAGAAAGACTGAGATACTCGATTAAAAATTCTTCCCCCTTGGGAATCAAACACAGGTGTGACACGTGCGACAGCGACGCGTCTAACTGCTGCACAACAGATGTCAGCCAGTATTCTCATGACCCAACATTACAATGCAAGGTTACAGCCATGTCCTTTACTTTGGGTGAACAAAACAAGCCAATCCGACCCACAACCAACGACCTTGACCCTCGACCCACCTAGCACCAACGACCCACCTAGCATGACTCACAACCCACAACCCACGACCCACCACCCACGACCCATGACCCATGACCAAGACCCCATGACCCACAACCTACAACCCAAGACCCACAACCCATTACCCACGACCCTCGACCCACGACCCATGACCCCCGACCCACTACCCACGTCCCACTCACCTAGCACAACCACAGAAACCTCGGCGGTGTCCTCTCCGTTCACGTTGGCGACCTTGATGGTGTACTTGCCCGTGTCCCCTCTCTCGGCCGCCGGCACGTGCAGTTTAGCCTCCTTGTCGTCATTCATCATTTGGGCCTGTGGAACAACACAGAAAACTTTACTGCAGGATAGATGAACATGTGCACTGCTTAAATGATGCTGAAATCATTTATAAATCTGTCCCCAGGGTTTTATGCACCCCGCATAATTTAGCAAAATTTTATCATTTTTTGCATGTTTCTGATTATTTTCCTTTATCATTCTTTGTTAAAATTAACAGAACCGCATAATTTCACATTTTTGGGTTCAGTTTGCATAATTTCAGAATTTTTTTTTCATAAAACCACGGGGACAGATATACTTGTATTAATTTGCATATATACATATTGTTGGAGTTTCATCAATAACAACTTTTATTCCACAGCTTTTTGTTCACATAAGTACTTTATTACTATCAATCTTCAGTGTTCCTATAATTTTGCTTTTGTCTTCCAAAAATAAAAGCATGGGAAAGAGAGGGACTGATGAAAAGACAGAGTGGGAGTGAAATGACAGCCAAAGAAATGTGAAACAGAAATGAGAGCAGAAAAACAGCCATGGGTGATGTGAAAGAAACGTGATTGTAAAACTCAGCTTCATAGAATGAGAAAAGCTAAATATTTCAGAAGCAGTAAATATCTTGAGGAGCAAACTAGAATCAGATAGTTCAAGGTCTCAGGTCAGAGAGAACGTGTAAACTTCACACAGACAAAAAAAAAAGCCAGCAAACTTCATACCCTGTTGCTGAGTGGTTTTCCATTCTTCAGCCACTCTACGGTGGGCTCAGGAGCACCACAGATACCCAGGGCGATGTTAAGAGGCTCTCCAGCACGCACGCGGATCTCTTTGGCACCGAACAAGTTGTCCAGATTGACCTTGGGGGCCTCTGTACAAGTGAAAGAAAAAAATCAAGCACACCATGAATCAATGAAAAAAGGAAATCATGTAAAAGAAATTGTTTTAGTAAGAGTTTTACGGCACTTGCAACACAATAAGCTGATATAAGTGCCGAAGATTAGAGGTGTTACAAGAGAGTAACAAACACACACAGGGGAGATAAAGACGATAGATGTTTGATAGGAAAGAAAAAGCAAACCACACCAGAGCACCCGCCAACCACCCACAAGTAAAAAAAACAACTTTGTCGAAAGTTTTAAGGCACTTATATGACTATTAGATCACACAACATGTTCCACTTAAACAACTTTCTCAAGGGATTACAAAATCATTGAAACTTTTTATCTACATGTGCATGTATTCGCAAAATGTACGGTTTCTTTTCGGGCTAAGAGACAACCTATTTGATCACAATGGACAAGACTCAAGGGAGTCTGAGGTTCAAGGAAAGTGATATGTTCCATAACACAGGTCAGTGGGTACCTACTTGAGATCAATTTAATCAAGAGTTTTATGGCACTTGCAACACAATTAGGTCAAATAAGTAGTGAAGATTTTGAGGCATAGCTAGAGAAAAAAATAGCAAGAAAAGATGGAGGAGAGATAATGACGTTAGATGTTTGATAGGAAAGAAGGAAGTAACCACATCAGAGCACCCACCAACCACCCACAGGCCAGTGGGTTCGAACGTGATGATAATTGGTCACTTTTAAGGACAAGCGGGCTAACCAAGATTTGGGGGGTTTCCAGAAATCTTGACCTACACCAAAAGTGGGCATTGCTCTATAGGAGAAGTTTGGTTTCATTGGTGTGTTTATTTGTTTGGTTATAGAGAAAACTTTCCTTGTCTTTTAAAGAAACTTAATGAGGGGCAAAAACTTTTCCTTTGATTTTCTCAAAACAGCATTTTTCGGGATAGACACCTTGTGCTTAAAAGCGAACAATTAGAGTTCACGTCTTTACCTTTAGCGGGTTTGGCAATGATGGGCACAGACGTGGAGCTGGCCTCCGAAGGTCCAGCCTCGTTGATGGCGTACACGCGGTACTCGTACTCCTTGCCCTCCTGAACCTTCTCGTCCTTGAACGTAGCCTCCTGCGGAAGAACCAAACAAACAAACGTACAGATTTATCATGACAGGGTAGAGCGAAGGAAATAACACCAACGTAACTTTCTACGTGGCATCAGTGGCCTAGTGGTTAGGCTACCGGACTCATAATTGTGAGGTTGCGGGTTTGGGGGTTCGAGCCGTGGGCCGACGTTGTGTCCTTGGGAAAGGCACTTTACACAAATTTTCCTCACTTCACCCAGGTGGGAATGGGTACCCGGCCACAGACAGCGAAAGATCTTGTCAGTTTATTAGTGTTTTAGTGCCTATAAATGGCTGCTTGCACTGTATGCTTCCCAGGAAGTTGAGTTTGTTTCAGAATGCTCTCAGGTCTGCTGGGGTAATAGTATAGATTGTGAAGCGAATAGAGCTTGTTGTTGAGTGGGGAGACAAAATTGTAATGAAGGAATAGAATGAAAAAGACAGTACACTTCTATTACAACAGTGAGCAATGACTCACTCCCGGCGATACCAACTTTGCAATTAGCACGATGTCATTGTGTGTGTGTAGATATATGTGTACGTACGCATGTGTATGTGCGTAACCCTGTATGTATGCTGTCGCTACAACAGAAAATGTGTCTCTTACTGAAATCAAAATAAATTTATTTACAACACTTTTTGCATTGTTATCTCATTAGACTTCAGGGGTAGTTGACCTTTGGCTCCTCAAATCACAGTGCAACTGACTGATCTTACATGTTTGTGAATCTGTAAACTTTCCTATAGGAGAGAAGTGTCCCTTGCTTTTCGTCCCGCTATGTTTATCCACTGACTTCTATTTGTACTTTTAACACTTTGCGGTCACTTGATGCAATAATGCCTCGTTGAAAATGATCTGTTCCGGTCATCTGGCGCAGCTCCACGCCAGGCCCCAGAAGTTTGTTGCAGTCGCTCTCCTGGCTGGGTGACCATATGGGCTATTTTATACTGTTGGCTGAGTGACTGCACAGTGTTGATTGATTGTACTGGACAGAGGTCCTTCAGTTTTTATATGCTGCCTCCTCAGGGCAGAGCTAATATTTTTATTACTTTGAATAAGTCAAAGAGCACAAAGAGAGGAATGTAAAAGATGGGAAGATTCAAGTAACGTATGTATCCAAAGTATAAAAGGCACAACAACACTGTTCATTATCTCTGATGTGCTGTTGGTAAAGAAAAGAGAGACAGAGAGAGAGAGAGAGAGGCAGAGAGACAGACAGACAGAGACAGAGACAGAGAGAGAAAGAGAAAAGGAAAGAGAGAGAGAGAGAGAAAGGGAAAAAGAGAGAAAGAGAGAGGAAGAGGAAAAGACAGAGACAGAGAGAGAGACAGGCAGAGAAACAGTGAGAGGGGCAGTGAGAAAGAAAGAAAGAAAGAGAGAGAGAGAGGAAGAGAGACAAGTGTACAACCACTTGTGTTCCCCTGTCCGTGTGACGTACCGGCACGGGCGTCCTGGTGAGCTTGGTCCACCTGTTGGTCTTGGGCTCCTTTCGCTCGACCTCGTAACCTGTGATGGGGGCACCACCGTCGCTGCTGGGTGGCTCCCACTTGAGGGCGATGAATGTGCGGTCGCGATCCAACACCTCGGGTTTGCCGGGGCGGCTCGGCTCGTCTGGGAAGGAGAAAAGTCCAGAGTTTAGGGCTTGTGAAGATTTTTTTTTTAACCCAACGAACCCGTGACACCGATTTATCTGTGTGCAAGTTATTTGCCTCTACCCCCCGGTCCACGATGATCCTAACTTTGTAGTCAAATAAACTAATACAACTAAACCTGCTCCAACTGCCACCTGTATAAGACAATCACCTGTATGGCGTCAGTGGTCCAGTGGCTACCGGACTCGTAATCGTGAGGTTGCGGGTTCGGGGGTTCGAGCCGTGGGCCCAATGTTGTGTCCTTTGGAAAGACACTTTACACAAATTTTCCTCACTTCACCCAGGTGGGAATGGGTATCTGGCCATAGACAGCCAAAGATCTTGTCAGTATGTTATTGTTTTAGCGCCTATAAATGGCTGCTTGCACTGTATGCTTCCCAGGAAGTTGAGTTTGTTTCAGAATGCTCTCAGGTCTGCTGGGGTTATATCTGGGGTATAGATTGTGAAGTGCATAGAGCTTACTGTTGAGTGGGGAATTGTGCTACACAAATGGTATCTCTTATTATTAGTACAAACAGACATTTCCAATTTCTCCCCTTGTGGTTTTTTTTTACATCATGATGATACTGTTTAAGACATCCACCTATCTTAGACAGCTACTTTTCTCCTTTACAATGGTGCACAGGGCTCTCTCAGACAATTTCGACAACTGTAAATCTCAGTAAAACACACGTGCCCAGTACATCACCAAGCAGCTCTCACCGAAGGGGTTCTTGGCCGTGATTGGCTCCTCCAACTCGAGAGGCTCACTGTCGCCGTTGGGTCCCTCGGCGACCACGCGGAACTTGTACTGGTGACCTTCCTGCAGCTTGGGGATGTTGCACTTGTTGCCCTGGACGGTGGCCACCTTCTCCCACTTGCCCTTGGCCAGGTCCATCTTCTCCACACGGTAACCACTGCAAGCAAACAACGTAATAATAATAATAATGATGATAATGATACAAATAATAAAAATAATAATAACAATAATGATTATCCTCA